TATATACTCATTGACACCTTTTTTGTCAATGAGTCTCATTGACAAAAAAGGTGATCTGTCACTAACTTTGCTGGGATGTGGAGACGGTGTGTGGCTGCACTGCAAAGTGGACAGACTCTGAGAGCAGTATTAGTATAGTATTGATATTTTAAGTCTCTTTTTTTAGGTTAGGTATGAAAATAAATAAAATAAGACATTGGTGGTTTTTCCTGCATAGATGCCAACAAATTTTTTTTAATTAGAACAAAGAAAAAAATCAAAAGATTTGCAACAAAATTGTATTTTAAAACAGTTTTGTATAGTAAATAATATTAACTGACTTCTTTTAAATTTGGTAACAAAGAAGGAATTTATTAATGTTGAAGAGAAAAAATGAAAGTATGTTAAGCATACAGCTTCATGCTAATTTTGTATATTCATGCTTCTGCTTTATTCAATAAACATTTAAACACATTAAGTTTTTTGCAGTTTGTTTTTTAAAAACAATCATTAGTGCATTAGATGTTTTTCACCGATATTTTTATGTTCATATCATCTAAAATATGTTTGTGTGTGTATCTTATGAAGATGATAGGTGAGCTCTTCTGAACCATCCCAGATTACAACCTTCCCACCAACACACAACACTGTGTGTAGTTTAAAGCTCCAAGTGTTACAGGTCTCAGTGGTTTCTCCAAATTCACAATTTTGATAAACATAAAAAAGAAAAACACACATCTGATGTCTATCATGTCTGATTTACCTCTGCATTTTGTGTCTTTAAACCTTTCTGTCCATCTGCTTTTGTCTCAAGCATTAAGAATCACTTAACTTCAGATCCGAAGTGAACAGACATTTTTCAGCAGCACTTCTTTCATTCTGGCTCCAAACTGATTGAAGGAAGCAGCAGATGCTCTCTTTAAACAGACACATCTCAGGCTTTGTTTTCTCACCTTTCACTAAGTCCACTGAATACACTGTATATGGTTATAATCATGGGTTCATCACATACTATTTTATAAATCATAAAACTGCTGAAGTAAATTCACTTATTTATCACTGAACATAATTTGATTATAAATAACCCGATTTTAAACCACATTGCTTTACCTGAAACCTGATTGTTGTAAAAACTGATTATAAAGTGTCACATGTGCATTTCTTAAACACAGTCTGCACTACATTACATAGAAATCTCTTCCTGAACTCATATATTTAAAGTATTTCAAAAAACAAACAAACTGGTGTGCCTTTGGCTTCCATGTGATGAACTGACAGGAGTGATGAGAAGTCATTATAAAGCTGGAAAATGAGAAAGAGCTCTCTCTCTCTCTCTCTGCGAGGCAGACCAAGTGCATGTACATGTTGGTCAGCTCATCAGGAGGGACAGTCGATCAGAGAAACTGCAAAGTCGGGAAAGAATGAACAAAGCTGCAGGCAAATGCTGACAACTAAACACCACTAAGAGTCAGGGCCGGCCCTAGGGTTTTTGTGACCCTAAATAAGATTTTATATACAGCCCCAAAGCACTTCCAGCACAACCACCAAATCACACACACTGCTTATAACTAGATGAGGATGAATACACACAAACTAGAGTCAGTGCAGACCTCTGCAGATACATTCCTCTCAAGGGTTGAGTGTAGAAGCCTGTGGTAAAGTCATCAGTGACTGAAGCTTCGGAAGATGTTTCCTTAGCAGCAGCCATGTCAGCTGAGGAAGACGTTTCTGTTTTTATTATTTTTATTTTTCATACTTGAGCACCAAAACTAAATATTAATGTAGGAGCCATTTATGTAATGTAAGGATAATCAAAATTCTGTAATTAGATGTAGCTTTTCATATCTGGCCCAGCAATCTGCTAGTTAGGTACACACTGGGGCAAACCAGAAGTTAGCTTCCCAACCCGAGATACTTCAAAATTGCAGATTCTCAGGATGTAAAATCTTCTTATGCAAATTAAAAAGACATTTACCTGATGCTAAAAGGCTTATTCAATGTTGTGTGAACTTGCGTGACAAGGGCTTAAATGTAATAGATTTATATGTAAAAGTACAAGAGAGAGTCATTGCAACAAGCAACACAGAAAGTCATGTGGCCCCCTCTAGTGGTTGTTGGAGACAATTACAACTGGCTGCAGAGCACGGGGAAAGTAAGGCATGCAAAGAAACAATCTGATCCCTTATTATTATTATTATCATTATTATTATTATTATTGTAGAAGCGTCTGTGGCTGTTTGATGGTCTCAGTTTTTGAGTGAAGCTGAAACGTTGATTTGACAATGGAATTAATTTCTAATGTTCCTCAAAGTCTTGTTATAGCTCAAGACAAACATGATGTGTAAAACATATTCACACCGTGAGGTGATGACAGTATGAGGACTTTTCTAACTATACATTCATCTAGTACAGATCATTATACTGGTCTGTCTCCAGGTACTTCTTTCATGCATTTATTGACAGCATTGACGGGATGTAATCTATTTCGACAACTGGTACCAGAAAACGGTGGAAACAGAAATATTGGTCTACTAGTTGTAGTTGCATATTAAAGTAACAAAGCAATGCTGGGAATCATTTAATGCCAAGTTGCTGTTTCTTGCGAAAGATTTTCATTGAATATATTCATAATGCTCTAACTTGCTATTCTGCAGGAGAAGAACTGTGAGTGTGTATTATGTAATCTAATGTGCTGGTATATATATTGCAACTTTATAGTCTAGGCTTCTTTGGTCATTACCACAGATCCGTATTCCGTTTTCCTTTTTGGGATAACATGAGAAAGTAACCTTAGTGGAGAAAAATAGTAGGCTTGTTAGGACATAATGATTGGGGGATAAAATACAGCAATAGTTGAATACAATTTTGTAATTGTGTTTTGATGAAGCTCCATAAATGCATGTTAAAATACTCAGACTAATAGTTTTACCTGTGGACTTTCACAGATTTATATGTGTTCTTCTACCAGAGGCCTAGGAGTTTAAGGGCTCTGAGTAGTATCATAGCTGTTCGTAGGACTGTGCTTCTGGACAGAGACCTCTGATGTTGTGACTGGAATCTGCTGCTTTTACTCTTCCAGTTTTGAGGTTACAGCTCCCAATGGTTCTATTACCACCGGGATCCCTCTGGACTGTACCATCCACATTTGCTCCAGTTGTTCCTTCAGTCCCTGGTACTCTTCTATTTGCTCATCCTCCTTCTTCCTCAAGTTTCCCTCTGCTGGCATTGCCACATCTATCACAACTTCAGAGTTCTGCTGCTTGTCAAGCACCATCATATATGGTTGGTTGGCCAGAAGCTACATGTTGATTTGCCACTTAAAGTCCAGTAAGACTTTTTAATCTGTGCTCTAGAAGCTTCAATTCTAGCAGTGTAAAAGCAACCTAACATCAGACTAGGACAAAACATATTTGGGGGGTTGAACATGTTAAAAATGTAACACTATAATGACAGTGCCTTGGTTGAGTAGACCTAATATCAGTATGTAAAAATGGATTACACTAAATTAAATTGATGACATGTGCAATGGCATGACATGTAATTCATATGTATCCATTTTCTTTAATTGTTGTTTTGATGTTACAAAGAGTAAACTTGTCACATACAGCAGTCTAATAGCTGAGTGGATATTTTGGGTAGTTTAGTTGTGCATAAAAGTGCAGTATCTTTGTGGTAGCATAAAATGTCCTTTAAATAAACTGACTTCCTCAAAATGATATGCTTATCTCACAGATCACTTGCAGAGAACTACTGTCCAATGACTCAGTAAAGCTGAAACCACACTTAATAAAGCTACTTGATTTTAGTGTTTCAAAGATTTTGAATGTCACTCCTGTCGATACAAATGGCTGCTCGGACACTTTCAGCTGCCATGATATGAGTTCAGCTTGTGTCCCATTATTTGGACAGAGACCTGCTGTTTCTTCATTCTCTCTGGCTTTTTCAGAAATTAAAGGTCATGGGGGGAAGTTGTACTTTGGGTCATTCTGACAGTCAGACAGAGAACAGCTGTGTCAAAATCAATTGTGAAGCACCTCCTTAACTCCATATTCAACAAGACGCATTATTCAAAATTCAGAAACTCCTTTAGTTACAAAGTAAACAAGTTCCTCAGATTGAACAAGGATTAGGAAGTTGTTTTATGGCCCCTGCATATTCCTAATCTAACTGTGATATTGCACTGATATTTGTAACCTCGGATTGATTAGGACTCAGTAAGAATAACTTCAGTTACAAATAAACAAACAAAAACCCCCAAAATGAAACGAGGAGTTTTATAAGTTATAGTGAAACTCTGGAAAGCTCTCAAATAAAATTAATTTACCAGAAGCATGAAAGATTTTTTTATCTGCTTTCTCTTCCCCTTTCATCATAAAGCTGCATCAGCAGTATTTTAAGGTCACAAAGTCAAATTTAATCTGAAATTTGTTCATTCACAATCACAGCATCAAAGATGTTTCATGATGAACAAACTGCATACAGGTAGATTAATGATGTTGATGTTTGTACACATGTACACTCTATCATCGCATCACTATCCTCATTAGCATGTTTTGTGTGTAACTGAACAAATATAAGGAAGTGAAAAAAAGGGAACAAGCGACTAAACAGTTGTCTTATAATCTGACAGACACAGAAGGAGTGAAGTGTCAGAAGCTGTTCTTCTGAAGTTTAACAACTTTTCTGCATCAGGATCAAAACCAAAATGAAAATCCTCCATGTTCTCTTCTTTGTTTTCTTGTCAGGTGAGGACTGATTACCTCATTGTCTCTTTCATGCTGCTCTTTATTTATTTTTATTTTTTAATGGAACTTTATAAAATGCACATATTCGCATTTGATATTCATCTTACTATTATTATTCTTATCTGACAGATCCAGCTGTGCTCGTCAAGGCAAGGCTCAATATCTGGTCTGCAGCTGAAGGAGGAAATGCTACACTTAACTGCCACTTACCTTTACCTGGAAGCACAAAGTTCTTCTGTAAGGGAAAATGTGAGCGAGCAGAAGATATCCTCATTAAAACAGATGGAAGCACAGCTCAGAGTGGGAGATACAGCATGAAGTATAAAGATGGATCTTCAGGAAAAGGAATTGTGTCTGTGACCTTCACACACATGATCAAGTCTGACTCAGGAATGTACAGGTGTGGTTTGGGAAAATCTTCTGCTCCGGATTCATACTTTGACTTTGAGGTCAGAGTTTCAAATGGTGAGTTTTTACTAAAGTATGTGTGTGTTTCTGTCCATGTGTTTTACCCTAAGTACTTGCACCTACAAGCATCACATTATCAGATGTGTCTTGGTTTTAACAGCAAAACCCTCCCAAGTTAACATCTCTGATCAAGAATAATAGAAGCAAGAAGTTTGCTCTGTTTGCCAAAATTGAACAGTGGCTAAACATTTGATATTATGGGAAAATTTAAATATAGCAGATGAAATGTCAGCCCTCTGTACTTCCAAATCTTCATTATGTGAATGTAACATTTTGAATGGCTTCTTTAAATATGCTAATATTATTGTAGAGTAGTCACTGATCCTGCCCAGGGTCAGGTGAGTGTTTTCTGAGATTTTCACTGATTTTATATAAAAATCAGAATATCATCAATCATGCTTACATGCTACAGGAAATGCGACACAACAGCTTACAGGAAGTACAGACTAATTCATGTTCTTCTGCTTCACAGATCTGGATAAAAACTCTGGTTTTACTCGCACAGAAACTGAGGGAGAAGCAGTCACATTGGGATGTGCCTATACTGTGTATGGGCAGAGAAAGTTCTTTTGTAAGAATGAGTGTAAGAATGAAGGGGAGATCCTCATTGACACAAGCAATGATAAATCTGTGAGTGGCAGATACAGCATTGAATACACAGCAGGATCTGCGTTTGGACTGTATGTGACCATCACACAGCTGACCAAGTCAGATACAGGAGGGTACAGGTGTGGTTATGGAAACCCTCTGTCTCCAGATTCATACTACAGTACCAGTCTTGTTGTCATTGGTAAGTAGGATGGTAAGAAATATGTGATTTAAAAAAAAAACAATAGCATGCTTTGTCATTCAGTAGGATAAAATAACATAAAAAATTAGGACTCCTGTTACTCACTGTCACGGTCGGGGCTATTGTCTCTTTTCAGTGTCTTTTTTTATTATCTTTTCTTTTGTTATTTTGAATAACACCTTAATTTATTTAAGTTCTAATGAGATGCCTGTATCCTGCAGTAAAACCTGAGCAGAAGATTTGTGACTCATAATTGTATGAATGAACATTTGGCAAAAGTGCAAAACAATCTCTATGTTAAATCTTTTGTTGGAGGGAGTTGTTCTTTTAAATTTTCTCTGTTTCTTCAAAAATGTCTGTTCACATACATATAAAATCATAGCCACTAGCTGAGGCCAAATGTATTAAAGTGTTACAGTCAAGTTGTGTTGGTGATGACATTGTGTTCAAATGACAGACAAAACCTGTGGCTCAAATGTGGCTTGAGAAAATTATGAATCAAACTGAATTTCAAAAAATCAGACCATTATCAGTTCTAGCCTAAAAGCATGATGGTGTTATATTCTGAACAGAATTTTATTTGTGATAGTCAAGCTACTGTTGATTGCTAATTTTACAGTTAATGTACAATACACTGCAGAATATAATATTTTTTTATGGAAAACAATATAATCATGTGCCAAACAACCATCTGTCACACCAACATCCAACCTCACTTTTTCAGTGTGCACTAAAAGTTTCCAAATTAATGTTTTGAAGAGTCTGAGTTCATCAAGTGATGTGGATTGACACTGAGATTGAGTGAGAGGCTGACCATGACTTTCTAATCTGCTTTAAAGATTTCATTATAATGTTAATGATGCATTTTGTATTTGGCAAATGTTTTTATTTTCAAGTATCACTACTCTTTTTTTAAATTTGTGTATTGTTCACAGGTTCAAATCCACATACTTCGACACCACAAGCAACAACTAAAACAACACAAACACCAACAACAACAACAGCGCAGAGTCAGAGTTTCACTCCAAAGATTTCTACGTCTTCATCAGATTGTCCTCACTCCTCCTTGGGTCTGGTTGTGTGTGTCTCTCTGATTGGTGTTTTACTGATGGCTGTTTTCATCCTGCTCCTCTACATTTATAAGACAAGGAGGAACACTGCACTGAACATCAGAGAAAATGCAGGCAACAAAAACATGGAGGTGAGTTTCTGTCACTTGTTTACTTTCTGTTTATACAGGTTTCAGTGACCACTGTTTAATCACTGTGATGTTCTTAATGAAGTGTAATGAAAAATAAATATTTTTTTAAATTAATAACAGACCAAGTTACAGAAACATGTTCTCTTTTTGTTCTAGTACTTCTTATTGTTATTGTTATTAGGTTGGTTCTTCTGTATTTGCATGTCTTTTACTTCCCAGACAAACATCAGTTCACCATATCTAAATATGTGAAATCACATTTAGTCCTGTCAGTATTTTGCTCTGAAGCAAAACTGCTGTACTTCTCATTTTTAATAGCATGAAACTGATAATGCATAATGTTTTTGAAACCTCAGCTTTTATGTCGTTGATGTTTTATTTTCAGTTTTCTGGCACATATGAGAACTGGGGTCCACCCTCCCAACATAAAGGCAGTAAGGACCAGGATCACGTCTACTCTGCTTTGTAAAAAGCACAAGTCTGAAAATGCTAATGTTCTGATGCTTTTTTTTCTCTTTGGGCAAGTTTAAGATCTTATATAATTTGTTTCACACACATATAAATATATATGAACTGAGCTTATTTTTTCCAGTTACTTTCTTTCTATGTATTCTTGACTTCTTTCTTTATCCATAAATCTGACTGAATGAAACATTCATGTACCACAGTTAAAAATAACGCAAAGTCTGTAAGTGTACTAAGATTTTTAATTACTGGAGATCAGGAAAAGTCCATTATGTTTTCCATTTTTATTGACCTATTTAGCATTTCACATATATTTAGCATGGTAGCAAAAAAGCTTCAATATGCAATCTTAGCTTTGTAACACTGAGAACATGCTTATTACGCTGCATTATAAACATTTGAAGAAGAGATCAGTAGAAATGTGTTTTATTGACAGAAACAGAAAACCAAAAGCTTTTTTCTAACATGCAATAAAATGGTTCACAAGCTGGCCAAAAAAAGGAAGTTGAGCCTGATTAAAGCTTAAGAAACTTTACCTCTCCTCATCCTTACCATCACCCTCAGAGGAGCTTTGTCCTGTTCTTTATTGTGGTGGTGAGGGAGGTTGTCAAATTAAAGAAGAAGGCTTTGGTTGGTCTGAAGCAGCAGACCGATACGGGAGGGCCAAAGTGTTGTGGCTTCAGCACTTGGTTGTTGGAGGAGGTTGTGGGTGAGACAATTCACAGTTTGCTTAAAATCCATAACAAAGAAAACCAGAATAAACAAATAAACACTTACTTGTTTAGATGTGCAGTGTATGGGAGCAGGTGCATGATGGTTTCAACAGGCTCAAGTACAGCAGTCACTCAGCATCAGCACATCTATTCTCTGTAAGAGGAACTCAGTTGCACATCAAGGCAGACTCACTCCAAAACCTCTGAATGCTTATCACAAACACTGTAATTACCGCTGGATCCCTCTGCACACGTCATTCACAACACAACATGTTGTTGCTCCGCATAAGGAAACAGACTGAGAAGTGTGTATTCAAAGGAGGCATTCAGGTGGAGTACTGAAGGCAGTCACAGCCCAGAACTAAATATGAAACTAAGCACAAAGTAATGTCCAATGTTTTTTTAATCAAGTGACTCTAATTTTTGTTCCAGGTTCTGTTTATTTGGTATTTTCTATGAAACAAAAAAAAAATTAATGTGAAATAATATAAGTTTCATATAGAAGACTTATGTTGTTGTGATTCTCTTTGTTTTGCATACACTGTAATGAGTGAATCAGGTCAGACTGTAGATTTTCCTTCTTCTAGCTGTACTGACTGACCTTTGACCTCATGAATGAAGCATGACGTTTTCCTGTTTAGCTGACTGGATGCATTACAGTCAGACACTGGCCTCGATAAACAAGTTTATGTATATATATCATTATAGCTGAATGTGTGTACGCCAGAGTGCGCTGCTTCTTTTGATTAAATCGTCTGTTACAGTTTTTTCTGATTGCTTAAGCACATTTTTTGTAACTATTTTGCAAAACTCTTCACACAAATAAGAAAACCTGTCACCCAATAATCAAAACATTGTAGTTCTCTTGCAAAAGCAAACACAGCTAGATTAACTCTTCACACCTTCGTAAAAATGGTATTTCCGTATCAAACAGTACACACAAGCCATCATCTACTAAGCACACAATGCGCCAACTGCACACTGATGGTATGAATACAAAACACATCTGGCTTTTGCTTTCTCTGTGCACAAGGTAGGCTATGTCAGTTTGAGCTCATACTTCTGTCATAGATCCATAAGCATAGAGGGATCCAAACTTCAAGTACTGGTGTTTATTCAAACACATCAAAACAAACACAAGTGTTTATTTCCAAGTATAGGATTATTTGCAATCGCCATAATGACTATATGGGTTACTTGGTCTGCAGTGAACATGCTTCCTCTGCCCCCAGCATCTGGTCATCTAGCAATTCTGTAAAGTAACAATTTCAGTATTTTTACATCAATGGTATTGGTGTGTTTCTCATTGGCATATGGCAGTGCTACAAATCTTTGTGCGAAGTGACTGTACTAACCGATTCTCATTTCAAGATGTCCTTATGGTACTTGCTACAGTGTAGCGGCTCGAGTTAGGCTGGACCCGTTGGCCAGCTACCCTCAGGGTCATTCCACGGTTGATTACATGGTCCACTATTGTAGCTCTGATGTCATCAGCAATTCTATTTCTTACTCTTCCTACCCTTCCTCTCCCCCCTCCTCGTCTTCCTCTTGCTCCTCCTTGTCCTTGTCGTCCTCTTCATCCTACTTCTTCACCTCCACGTCCTCTTCCTCGGCCTCCTCTACTTCTCACTCTTTCTGCTCCCTCCATTGTACTCCGCACACACAGCTTACCTGTATTATAGTGCTTAGGCTGATTGCAAAGTGAACTAATTATCTAAAAAAGTTTTCACATGTGAAAGTGTGCCAGACAGTTGGCAAATTAGTGTTAATGATAGCCATACATGTGTATACTTTTGCTAGGAGTGTGTTGGAAATTTGGTAATTGAGTGTTGTGCAGTGAATTGTGCCTACAGTTTTGCAAAGTGTGTGTTACAAAATTGCAAACTGAGTGCAAAGCAGTTTTTGTGCTTTTAGTTTTGCAAACTCAGTGAGTGGTTTTGCTATAAGTCTGAATAGTTTTAGAGATTGTGCTACAGGAATCACAGTTAGGGTTTAAGCATTCAGAAAAAACTGTAAGCAATCAGAAAAAACTGTAAGTAATCCAAAGTATTCAGAATACGTTACTATTGAGTAACGTAACGGAATACGTTACAGAATACATTTTGGGGCATGTATTTTGTATTCTGTAATGGAATACATTTTAAAAGTAACCTTCCCAACACTGCATGTGGCAGTGTGCCAGACAGTTGGCAAAATAGTGTAAATAATAGCCATAAATGTGTATAGTTTTGCTAGGAGTGTGTTGATCATTTGGGAATTGAGTGTAAAGCAGTGAGTTGTGTTTACAGTTCTGCAAAAAGAGTGCTGTGCAGTGGATTGTAGCTACAGGTTTGCAAAGTGTGTGTTACAAAATGGCAAACTGAGTGCAAAGCAGTGTTTGTGTTTTTAGTTTTGCAAACTCAGTGAGTGGTTTTGCTGTAAGTATTAATAGTTTTAGAAATTGTGCTATAAGAATCACAGTTAGGGTTTAAGCATTCAGAAAAAACTGTAAGCATTCAGAAAAAACTGTAAGAAAATGTAAGCATTGTGGAAATGTGTTCACATGAAATGTGTGAATGGTATGGCCACAACAGACCGATGCTGTGCTAATTGTGTTTAGAGTTTTGCAAATGTGACAACTGTTTGGACAAACGCTTGTTAGCGACTGAAAAAAACTGTAATTTGAATCATTTTCTCTCACAGAAAAGTTCATAGAATATATAAATCATTTGATAACAGCTTCTCATCACAGGAATCATCTGTGTGAACAGATTTAAATACAGGAAATAAATAGAACAGGTACAAACAGTGTAAATATCACAGTAATATACTGACTTATGAGTGTTATAGAGGAGGAGCTTCACAGCAGCAACAGCTTCACCAAATGTAGAAAGTAACATTCAAAGAATCTCACAGAAATGCTGCAGTTTGAACATCAACACTCAGCTACAGTTAGAGCTGAAATGAGCCTGTCTGTCCAGATGGTGGCGCTGTAAGCTCACTTTTTCCTGCTCTGTTACAGACATGATCTTATTTTCAGGCTCTGAACGAAGTGACTGTCTGCAGCAGTGTGAATGACTCAGAGGAGGAAGAAGCTGCTGGTTGACATGAACGACTGATGTCGGAACAACTTTGTGGTTGTTCATGTAAAACCACAAAGATGTTACAAATTGTTTCTGTTTGTTCTGCTTGGTAATATAAATTGAGCACTGTGTCTCCCTCATGCTCAGTCAGTGTATCTGTAATCTGTCCGTGGATGTTGGTGTGTGCAAAATGTGAGTCTAAAGAAGAGCAGACACCAGCAGAAAGTATTTTATCTGTAACTCTGTTTTTATGTCAAAACGTCTCTGAGAGTGTTTAAAGTGAAATCTCTGCTCTCATTATCATTAGGTATAATGTTACTATCTCGTTAAGCCCAAAGGGCTTTCGGAGCTTCCTTTTTGAAAATGACTTGCCCAAAAAGAAGGGAGTATTTATCTGCAATTACAAACTGGCACAAGCTTTGGACCACACTGTAGCTCAAAGGCTACTTACTGAAAAAAAAACGACAGTTTATTCATTTTAAATGATTCACTGATTGTTGATGAGTTGCACCTGATCAAATGTATCAGCCATAAAACAAAAGGTGGGCTCTTGTATATCCATGAAACATTTAAAAGAACAACATCAAAAACAGACCTGTGTATGATAACATTAGCTGTCCGCTTACTATCAATTGTCAAATTGTTTATTTATTTTGTTTATTAAATCTTCTTCTTCTTCATAAAAGAATGAAATATCAATTTTAATATAACTTTTAAATTGTATGATTTGAAAATTTTATTCATTTATTTTCAAAGAAACAATAAATATTAATAAATATATCATGTAAATGTATCATATGTAAATATGCCAGAGTCAGCCATAAGGCAACTTTCATCTGTAGTCCCATAATATTTGCTACATCGGGCATTTTGTGCACTTTATTGCTTATACATTTATTATTTTTAGGTTTTCAGGTGAAAAAAAATCACATCGATGAAGCGCTCTCAAAAGAGAAAACATAGAAAACATTTATGACACGTTTACTGACACTTGAACATGATTACAATTGTTGGATTTGATTTCCCCCAAACTGCAGGATCTGCAGGTTTTCATGTCTCTGTATAATGACTCATCAACATGTGAGGAGAAAACGTACAAATCCATCATACACACAGTATATATTATAAAGATACACAGTTAATGTTTAACATTAATACATATCAGACACACAAGAGTCTCATCAGTCACTCAGTGTGTGAAAACAGACACTGACTTGACACAGATGTAGTAACAGGTAAAATTAATTTTAGTAACAACTCAGAATATTTTCCGCTAATGCTCACTATGTTTCAGTTATTCGGCTCAGGTTATAATAAAACAACAAATATATGACATCAGTGAGCAAGATTACAACTAATAAAGTCATTTTATGGTTAATGACTAAATATAAAAAAAAAAGATTATTCCTAGTTCAATAAGACGACATATAAAAATAAAAGATTAATTTCTTTGTAAAAATGAGAACAAAATAAAACAAAAATACTCAGTTCTCAGGCGGGTAAAACTCATTATAAGATAAGATCAATTCAAACGTATTGTTCTTCAGATGTAGACATGTTATTTAACAGCCTGCCTACAAGGGAGAAGTCACGCACTGTACCAGCGATATTGGATCAGTTACAACCAGGTCAGCCATGCTGATGGTCTCTCAGTTCGAGGCTTGATCTGATTCACAGTTGATTGCTGCTTGTACATGTGAAGCATTTTACAGAGAAATGTAAGTCACAA